CTACAAAATAGGTGATATTAAAAAAAAAAGAAGAAAGAAATGAGATTTGTTTTTGGTAAAAGAGCAGGATAGCTTCCAGGAAATATTTTGCTAACGTTTGGTTTGTCTCACCAGGTTACTGAAGCCAATGAAACTACATTGCTAAAGAAGTCATGATGTCCAGGTAACAAACTACAGTTTCTTTTGGGCTGAATTCAATTTTAAAAAGCCCTCAATTAATCCTACTGGTAGAAAGTTTACTGAGAAGACAGGAAGAGAGGAGGGCAGACTTGTAACTAATACAGAATTGGCTGATTAAAAATATGACAGAGAAGAGAAATAAGAATTTTACCTGAGTTAGGATAATAATTGGCAAATTTCCATTTAACGTGAATAGAAAAATCAACATAAATTTACATGATTCATGTAATCAGCAAAAATAGAGAACTTAAACTATAAACAGGAATATTAAAAGCAAAGAAACAGCCATGTGTGTCTGGATCTGACCTGCCATTATTCAAGATGAGTATTATTCTTGTGAAGATATTTTCATTTTTTTCCTTCTCTTTCTTCTTTTGTGGGATGGAGAGGAGGTGTGGTTAGAAGTGAGCGGTCAAAGGGAATGAACGTGTCTGTAATTTATTAATTGTAACTTCACTGATGATAACAAAGATTCCTTTGTTAGGAACCTTTTCTTTCTCATGGCACCGCAAACTTGAGTTGAGACAGAGTTACTCTGGTTATTATTTTACTGGTTGAGAAACTGAGGCAGAAAATAAAAAATCTCATTTAGTTCTAAGAAGCATGTTTTTACATAATGCTTGAATTCACTACCTGTGAAATACTTTAGTAACCATTCTCCAACCTCTTCCTTCTCCCTCCACCTACCACACACATCCTAGGCAACCACTAGTCTACTTTCTGTCTCTATCTATTCTGACCATTTCATATACATGGAATCATACACTGTATAGTATAGTCTTTTGTAACTGATTTCTTCATTTAGAATGTATTTGATGATCATGAGTGTAGTATGTATCACCACTTCATTCGTTTTTATTGCTGAATAATATTCTATTTATGGACATACCACTAAGATTTCTAAGATTTTGCATTAACATTTGCATCTTATGCATTCTTCTCTGCAGAAATCTTAGATTTTTGGATCGTGTAAACTTAATTAGAGGATACACCATGCATTTGGTAAGAAATATTTGAATTCTGGAGCCTTGGAAAAAATGAAATGGCTAGCCAATGGGAATTTATAGTGATGGCGAACGTCACATCATTCTCCCCAGGGAAATAATCCCACATTACCCCCAGTGCAGGCTACTTAAAGAACTCTGCTTTTACCACATAGGTGATGAGCAGGTGCTATACTTACAGACAGAAAAGGAGCAGGGTTCCAGTCAGACTTAAAGTAAAAGATCATGCTTGTAATGTCCTACCTAAACGGAAATCTCAGGGGCCAACACTGTGCAGCAAAGTTACTCGTATTTAGAAAAAGTCCTTACCAGAAATGTACTTCATTCCATCACTTAATCTTCTAGTGCTGAGTATATCTGTGTCTACCTCTGCTCTTTCAATATATGAAACTGCACTGCTGGACTTAGAAAATGGCATGTTCACAATATTAGATACATGCAGAGTATCATTTCTCTAATGGAAGAAATAATATCTCTACTCCTATTTAAGTACCTTCTTTTTTTTCTGGAAGTTATAGTCTGGAAGTTATAGTAAGAGTGCCCGTCCCTGGATCAATTATATATTTTAAACAAGCCTTGCAGAAGGACATAAGGTAGATTTCTGCTGGAAGAAATGTTGTAGGCCTGTGTGGCACACACAAAAGATGTGTAAAATAATATGTGTATTTCTGTCTGCTTTATGCCAAAGGCATTAAATTTTGAAGAAGAGCAAATTATTCACATTCTTATAAACTGAATATTTAAATAACGTCTATAGCTTTTACATCTTTCTTTATAAAATATTTCATTCAGTACCTAATTGAAACGGACGGCTATACTAGCAAATTTAGCAGTATTCAAAGATAAGTAAATAGCCCAAATTCTTGCCTCCTGAGAGTTTACAAACTAAGAAAAGGAATGCAATTAAATAAAAGTTAATCAAGATTTTCATTAATCACAAGACTCCATGAGAGGGACTAACCATTTTTTTAAAATGTAAAAAGATTCAGAATGAAGTGAATCCTTTCCCTGCCCCACCCTGTCTCCTTGGCACCCTCTGCTGACCTCTGTCAGAGCACAAGGTTGAACTTGCCTGCTGCCGTGGTGTCTCAGTGTGGCTGCTACAGCAAAGAGCAACAGACTAAGCAGTCAAAAATGACAGAAATTTATTTCTCACAGTTCTAGACAATGGAAGTCCCAGATCAGTGAGTCAGCGGGCTCTCTTCCAGTCTGCGAACTGCCTATTTCTCACTGTGTCCTCACCTAGTAGAAGCAGTGAGGGACCACTCTGCAATCTCTTTTACAAGGACACTAATCCCTCTCCCAGGGTCTCCACCCTCTTGACCCAAGAACATCCCAGAAGCCCTACTTCCTCCTACTAACACATTAGGGGTTAGGATTTCAGCATATGCATTTTGGGGACACACAAACATCCAGTTCATAACACCTGTCTCCTCTACTATTCAAATAGCCCATCAAAGACTTAGCATAGTGGCCGACACAAGGTAAAATGCAGTAATTTCTCATTACAATTGGGGTATCACCACAAGGGTTAAGTTGGCAAGACAGACTCACGGGATTTACAAACCTTATTCAACAACAAACTTTGCCAACTATGAAAAGAAGACAGCAAGGAAGTAGCCTGAACAATATTCTTCTCTGGAGGGACCTCAAACCATCAGACATAGCTTTTATAAGATGTCTCTTTCCCTGGGTCAGGATCTGGCTTCACCATAGCAGACGGCACGAACAATACCTATCTCCCTGAGTCTGAGTCTGGTTTCTCAGTATTCATTCTCCCTAAGTCACACACAGAGAAAAAAAAAATCTGTGTGACTACTTTTTATTGTCCATCCAGTCATGGCCCACTTCACTATACATTCCAAGTTTATAATAAGCAATCTGGATGCCCAAGTCCATACTACTAGAAACATTTTAAAGATCTTCAAGTTCCCTGTTACTAAACCCAATCAGAGTAGTAGACTGTTTACTAGGAGTTCTGGCTGAGGTCAAACATTACAGGCACTGAAAACCATTTTCTTCCCACAAGGTATTATGATCGATTTTTCAAAGAAGGGCCTCAGTAAATATTGATTCTTATTTGACTTCGCCTTTACTTTTTTTTCTCTTGCTAGTTCTGCTGTGAGTGTTTCACTGCAGAAGTCTCGATGTCCCCATTTTCATCTTTGTGCTTTGTAGAGCACAGACCTGTATTAACAGCTATTTTCCTTGGTTTATTTTAGGATCCATGATACTTAAGATCAGAGATGAGAACAGAGATATTGCTGGTACTGTTCTGTGACTCCCTTATACTGTGTAACAAAGTCTCCCCAAATCTTAGCAGCTTCCAGAAATTTCCTGCTTGCTTGCGTTACCTAAGAGTTGATGGTCAGCTGGGATTCTGAGGAGCTTGGCGAGGCTTGGCCAGGTTGCTAGATTAAACACATCTTCTCATGTTGGAGCCAAGCTGAAGGAATAGCTACTCTCTGGACAAGTGATGCTCTTGGTGGAAGGTAAGCACAAGAGGTCCCCGGCCAAGCCATAAGATGCATTTAAATTTCCACTGGGATACGGCAGATGCCTGCTCCTCACAGCCACACAGCTGAGACCAAAGTGTGCGTGGCAAGTAAGCAAGCCAAGGATGGAGCATGAGCAAACAATTACAAATAATTATCCATATTAGGGTTTCCAACACTTGGAATCCCTCATGTAACTTAAATTTGCTCCCTTTATTTTACAC